GGTGTGTTTATAAAGAGACGAAAATTGTTTGGGGACTATCCCCCACGTTCTAGTTGAGATGGTATAACCCAAGAGGCAAAATGACGCTTGCTACTGTTGTTGCGAGTTGCCATTCGTTCTACTAAACCATTAGTCAAACGCCGTCATCTCTTCTGTTGTTATTACACAAACAAAAATCTCTTTACTGTTACTCGTGTTCGTGCCTCAATATGGCTACGCTCGTGAAAGCAATACAACGAACTCAAACACGTCTTCGTTCAATGTTGTCAACTAATATCCGGATTAATTTTATGCAAATTTTCCTCAATTCTCCGGGGAAATTTTCATAAAATTTTGAAAAACCCGGAATTCCGGGAAAATCCGGAGGACTTTCATCTCTGTGTGATGTTCAAGGTTTATCTCCCCCACGCCATATTTCGGGGTTTTCAATTGTGTCGGGAGGAACCCTTGGGTAAAAAACAAACAACAAAAAAAACAATAACTGCAGCTCTATTTTGGTTGGTGAGTCACTTACAAATTCATATACATAAAAATAAAATAATTCTCGGTATGTTAACAAGATAATCAGTAAGAAGTGCACAAAGGGTTTGGCAACAAGTTGAAAATCCCGGTAGTACAGATTGACCCGAAGTAAAGAACTTACCAGCCATCAGAAGACATACAATGCACATCGAGAATGCCACCAACATGATGATCGGTAGCTGGAAAAAGAGGATTGAAGGATTACATTGACGTGAACTCGTTTCTGCTGCACACTGACTGAAGTAGCGATCAACAGACCGTGAGGAACTTCCAGTCTTTCTGCACCCTCAGAGGACCGGGGGCGTCTGATTCATCGATGACAAAATTGCCCAGAAACAAGTCAATTGAATCCTGAAACCAAATAAAACATATTTTCATATTGATAGATAAATAGAGAGAAAATGAAGTTTCACCCATTTACTCCTAAACACATTTATGTCTTTTGAGACCCCTCACATTCAATCCCAGGAACTTATTTTACCTTTTTTCTTTTTCAAGATTTAGGGTTTAAAAAAGGGTCTGAAAATGGCTGACACTGACGAATTTAGTGAGAAAATATCTGGGTAAAGTTAACATTTTGGATTTTGGTCAGAATGAACAAATCGTGAAATCCACTTCAAGTAGTTGCAAATGTATCTGATTATTCAAAACTTGGTGACCCTTTTGCGACCTCTGATCAAATATTGATAATTTTCTTAAAATGTCATCATGGCTGTTGTCACCAACATTACATATATTTTCGATTCATTTTTAGCAAGTCGGTTTATGGTGACATACGGTATGGAACATACTTGTCGAAAGCCGTCAGAGAAGTTGTTTTTGTAATAGCGGATCATGGAGTTCCATCCATCCATCAACAATCCCCAGTGGGTTCTTTTCCCTGTCCTGAGTGGGGTGGGAGGAGGGAAAGAAAAACTTCTGTCAAAGAGGAGCTCCAACAATAATTTCAGAATCAGCAACAGAGAAAACACCATGTTAGTCACGGGATGTGTGAAACATGAGTGTTACCGTACCTTGTGAAGTCTGTTTTTAACGCACCGGTTCCTGCGTACTGTACAGCACATGCATTGGCATTGTCAGCCCATGCTGATTAGAAAGCACACAGATGTGAGGGTAATGCTCACGCCACACGTGACATGCTAACCCGCCGAGATCAGTTCCACGTTACCATTTTTGTAGATCTTCTCAAAGTCGGCCTGTTCTTCAAGGCGCTGTCCTACGTTTAGGACACCCATCCTCTGAAGACACAATCGGATACATGAAACCTCACGTGATAGCTTTTTTTTTTTGTTTTTTGTTTTTTTAAGTTGGTGTTTACCTGGAGCTGAGACTGCAAGGAGCGTCGTGCCAAAAGGCTCTGGATGACATTGGTTCTGTCCAAGCAGTCCATACAGTTACTACGAAAGACACCTTTCTGCTGGGCTAGTACCCTTCCATCCAGGTTCACCATGAAGTAACTGCACAGACGAAAAAAAAAAAAAAAAAAAAAAGAGGATCGTGCCCTTCTTTGTGGAATAACACTGCCACATTGCCTTAAACACTTTCATAGAGCTGCTGCGGGAAATACCTGTATTCATCCTGTGTTTCAGCTACAACATCCACCAAGATCTGGAGACGATCCCATCTCATCTGGCTGCACTCTTTGTGGAAGTCAAAGGCGATATAACTGAGGATGGAGGAAAAAAAAAAAAACGTTCTGAATAGATGATACTAGATGTCAAAATGGTTCAGGCTTTCAGGTGAGTATGTTGATAAGTGACACATATGTAGGTGATATTGACTTACGAGTCAATACATTGCAGATTACCAAAAGAAACTTTTTCGTCAGATAATTCTTCAGGAGATCCATGAAATGTATCACTCCTGAGAACGAATCCGCGCTGTATTTCCTTATCCTGTGGCTACTGAGTAAATGTAAATTTCTATGGCAGGCTGCAAGTTTGTTAGGCTTTCTTTTAAGCTAAATGTAATACAATAACAACAATAATCCATCCATCCATTTTTTGATCTGCTTGACCCTCACAAGGGTCGCGGCGGGTGCTGGAGCCTATCCCGGCCGTCTTCGGACAGTAGGCGGGGGACACCCTGAACCGGTTGGCAGTCAATCGGAAGGCACACAGAGACGAACAACCATCCACGCTCACACTCACCCCGATGGAAAATTGAGAGTGTTCAATCAACCTGCCGTGCATGTTTTTGGAATATGGGAGGAAACTGGAGTACCCGGAGAAAACGCACGCAGGCAAGGGGAGAACATGCAAACTCCACACAGGAAGGCCGGAGCCGGGATGGAACCTACGACTTCTGCACTGTGAGGTCGACGCGCTAACCAGTCGACCACTGGGTCGCCACAACAATAATAATATACTGTACATATATTTTAATTTACACAGCTGAATAATAACCTAATTCAGTCCAGTCAAAAGGACTGCCGTACGCAACACTATTACTGATGCCGTCGGAAAAGTAAATTCCGACAGTGAAGGCGCACGTTCAATCAAACCCTCGTCTCATTCGGCTTCTCCGTTCCAGTTCCAATTTTAAACCACACGTCCGCCGAAACCTCAGCCCACTGTCAACATCCCATCATTGCCTGAATCCTAAAAAAGCCATCATACCCATTTCACCATACTACTTAGCATAGAGCTGGAACACATGTAAATAGTGAATTTATAGTATGAGGCGTTGTTTCTATGACTCTGTTGTGTTTGAAATCTGACAAAAAAATTAAAAACAATAAAAATGGTAACACTTACTTGAGCATACCGTTGTTCACACCGGCCACCATCTTGGCAAATGCTTGTTCAAGTGGCTTTTCAGAGCCTTTCTGATTCACCTGGAATAAAATGCACATGTGTTTTAAGCTATAACAGTGCTTGTGCATAAATATGTGACCATCCAGTCCAAAAAAAAAAAAAAAACAACAAACAAAAAACCCCACTTGGGTCAAATTTATGAAATTTAGATTATGTACCTGTTGTGTAAAGGCATTAAAAGTGCTTTCCAAAGATGTTCATGTAAATTTGTTGAAGACGGGTAAATTTAAAGATCAAGAATTAAGTCGGTGGAGGATGGACAAAATGGCAAACCAAGTTGTTGAAATGTACTTCTTGGCACGAACCAAAAATGAATGAAATTTTCATCCAGATATGCCAACAGGATGTATAAAATTCATTCATTCAAATCATTTTTGTTGTTTTGAAAACAGAATATGTCGCACGATTTTCAAACTGGGCATGCGGGAAGTAATTCTGACCAACCTGAAGGAGCCATTCAAAGTTAGCCTAGCAACAAGGATGTATTTGTTGACACCATGAGGGTTGTTTTTTTTGTTTGGTAATAAGCGGAATGACGGAGACTTAAATTAAATCCGGGGCTGCAGAGAACCCCAAACTTTCTGTTGATACCATAAATTATGTTGGTTTTTTTTTTTGTTTTGTTTTGTTCAGAGGGCAACAGCAGCTGAAAGGTTTCAGTGATTTTCCGACTTCTGTCATGGAGAGGGTGCTGCCCCTTCTCAAGAAAAGCATTTCTTTCAAGGCATGAAGGGTAAGAAATTCACATGAATGACTTGGTTGGCTTTTGGCACTGTTTCATTTGACAGTTTGCCTTACCAGGTTAAGAAGCGTTTGTTTCCCATAGATCAGGAGCTGGGAGTCGAAATGCCTCTGGAAACCATCCAACTGAAACGTGTTTCCAAGTGGTTAGTTAAGTTTCAACTTCCTTCCATTTAAAGAACAAGAGGGAAAGTGAAGGCCTGTCCTTACGTGACTGGTTGTCTTGCTGATAATAGGTTTAGGCTTGTATTTAAGGTTGGGCCTTTGACTCCAGTAAAAAGGCATCGAACCTCTTGTCTGTGGGACAAAAATAGCATTGTGAAATTATTCGCCAACTTTGAAACATGCGCACGATGAGTGACATCATCAAGCCGGTCAAAGCCGATGAGCCACAGTTTTTGCATACTTGCCTGCACAAAGGAAGCCTTGGCTCCCTCGTATAAAACAATCTGCTCAGTTTCGACAAAGTTAGCAGCATGGCCTTCTGAGTCAATGCCTGGAGAGTAGAGAATAGAGAAATGCAAAATGCACATTGTATAATCTTCACTGTATAAATATTTAAGCGACGTTTAGCTTCGCTAATCAAAACCAATATGACTATCCAAAAATGCAAAATGCACATTGTATAATCTTCACTGTATAAATATTTAAGCGACGTTTAGCTTCGCTAATCAAAACCAATATGACTATCCAAAAATTGAATATGTTAGCTGCATTTTAGAGTCATTAGTAGACTTTGCACCGATCCGCCGATATTTTGCTGTTGTGCAAAATCCATGACTGGCTGTGATGCTTTACTTTGCCGATCGTTCAATGACATAATTGATCGGATCCATGAAATAAGACATGACAGCAAACAAAGGCTTGTTCGCGTTTACGTGCCGAAATTGTGTACGTTTGAGCCCGATAGGTCATTTATTTTTAGGTTTGTCGCGTGTCATGTGAGGGGAAAGCCTTTGCGTTGGCAACTGGAAGTTTGATAAATTTCAAATGGAATGTACAAAAGAAAACACCTGAATACGAATTTTACTGTGTTATTATGGGAACCAACCACCCTATTTTCTGCACTATAAGGTGCTTTGCATGATAAGACGCACCTTCAATAAATGGCCTATTTTAAAAGCCTTTTCATCGATAGGGTTGCACTGCATTACATGGCCCGTAGAATAGAAGCTACAATAGTGGCTGCGGTTGCGCAATGCATCCATGAGATGGTGCTATACTACGAACCCTTTTGCGTTACAATTGGTTCCTGCTAATAATCACCATGAGATGGGTAGGAACACCAACAGGGAAACAACTCAGTGGGGAATATAAAGAGAGTTACAGTCGCTTTATATTCGGCGCATCTGATTATAGGGCGCACTGACGGCTTTTCAGAAAATTGAATGCTTTTAGGTGCGCCTTATAGTGCGGAAAATATGATAATTTAATAATCCGAGGTTCCGCAGCGTATACAGTCAATGAAGTTGTTTAAATTAGATGGATGTATTGCTCCATGTTCTGATCAGATCTGATTGGTTATTTATTTATTACTATTATTTATTTATTTTGTTTTTTTTTTAAATATAAGTGATCGGCCCAAAATCCTGATCGCGTAAAGCCTAAATCATAGCATGAGAACGTCCGTGCATTTGAAACATTGGACAGTTTTGTTACCTCTGACATAGTATCTGACACCAGCCCGGAAGCAGCTCCTCCGGGATATGAGGATCCACTCAAAGATCTTCCCGTTGATACGACACGGTTTCATGACAATGACTGGACCAACGGATCAAGGAAGCAAGTCTGTCAAGTGTTCTTTTAAACCCCCCCCTAAAATTGAACATTTCCTATCTCGCGATCCTCAACGAAATAGGGAATAAAAAGGATACAGCCGTGTACAATAGGTAGAGCAAACCGGTGGAGCTATGGGAAGTTACATTGAAAGGGTAAGAAGGATAGTGAAAATATGGTAGCTATTTGGCCTTAGATGACAAGTCATATTACCTCTGGCTCTGCTGCCAGCTCTCGGAGGAGATTTGCATTCCACACAAACCTCTGATCTGCCTGAAAAACATCAGCCAAACACTTTTTCTTTGTTTTTCTCAACTTTAGTTTGTGAGCCGTAATATTATGAGGGGAAAAAAAAAGATCGACTGAATAAAGACGTTGCTTTTGTGTAATGACTCCAGGATATATATAATAAAAAAAAAAAATCATTTTTGATCATAGGCACCATTATTTGTTGGCTCACTCACCCTCTCTAGCAGGCTCATCTCCTGGAAGTCGGGGCTGGTATTGGCCAGCCGCTGAAGGGTGTGCGTCAGGTCATAATCAGTGCAGAAGTAGAAACCGTCTGTCGTCAGCACATTATTTAACATGGACAGGAAGGTCTTATTCTCCTGAGACTAGAAAAGGACAGAATCATAGATTTTACAGGGGTTGGCAAAATGATTTTCTCCTTTGTACGAGCATTGAAGTGTGACAGAGACACACCGAATGAAGTCCTGTGTATTGTGCCATTGGTGCTTCATAATGTGCGCACCTCACTTTTTTGTGATATACAGTATGTATATTTTCTTCAAACTAAAAGTAGCACAACTACACAACTAGGGATGCACGACAGCAGTTTTTTCTTCCTCCCCGCCAATACCGATAATTGGGAACTTCCTGCTTCTCCAAACCGAAAGATTTATTTTTTTTTCATCCTGCCCCAATTGCACTATCCCTTGTCCTCCATCTCACCATCGCAACTCAACCTTTCAAAGCTACATGTTGGACAATTTTCAAACGATATTGATGTGTGTTCATGAATTGGATTTTTTTTTTCTTCAAAGTGAGTAATCAAATTTGCGCCTGTTTTTGAACGCACAAAGCTTTAGTAAGTGGCCTTTAGTGTAATTGCAGTGGTTTAAGCAACAGCAGTGTATAGTGTATTAGAATGAGATGCATGCTTTCTGGGCTTTGTTGGGATAATAGGATAAGACTGCTAAGCCAATTTGCACAGCAGTGAAACCTGATGTTTCTCCGGTCACCGACTATATACTCTCTGGGCATTGTTATCACTTGATGTGCTCTTAAATTCAGTACTTTACCTTCTTTTTTATTGTATTTGAATCATGTTTGATAGACAGTCACTTTTTTTTGTAAACACACACTTTTTTAAAACACATATTTTCACGAATGAAACTACCACCGTACCTGCAATTCAATAATCACCTGTAATCGTTTTTCAACCACTGCAGCCTGACAATATCACTGTTCCTGATTAGAATCCTCCCCATTTTGCATTAGGCTTGCATGTTTTCCCTGTCTTTGCATGAGTTCTTCTACCTGGATCTCTGACAGATGCAAAATTGTCTTCTTGTAAGATATGATATCAAAATCCACGGCTTTCCAAACTGCATGACCCAGAAGGCTGCCCACATTTCTCTTCCTTGTGATGACGATCAGGTACATCCCTAGGGAAAGTCAGGCGGTGCAAATATCTATTACAGTATACTGACCGACATACTGAATATGCCCCATTAACCCTTTCATGCACCCTGCAACCTGAGAAAATGAGAAGCTGTCCACTGCAGTAAACGCCATCTCTGAAAGGGTTAAAGACATCTCCATAGTACCTACCGGCAACCAGGCGAATGGTCCCCATGATGCCACAAATTGGCCGGGTCACCGCTGAGGCAGGGATGTCCTTTTTACCTGTGAAAACACTTACAGATTAGATACTTTAAAAATGGGTCTCCAATTCATTTCACTGTGAGAGGTGCTTTGACTACAGAAAAAAAATGGCTGTGAAACCACTCTATGAAAACTCGGCATCAGAAGAGCACCGATAGACCCAATTATACAGCACTAGCCACTATAAAACAGCAGCCTTGATAGCTTTTGTTTAAAAAAAAAATGGCATTGTGTGACTAGGATGGGCATGGGTAAAGGCAACTGAAGCACATAAAGCAGATTTTAGTAGTAGTTGTAGTAACCTTTCCATAATCTAAATAAATATTCACTGTGCACAGTCAAATATATTTATCGTTAGTTACTCAAGATGTTTTGCTTTGAATCACACATTTGTTTCATGTAGTTTCTGTAAGAGTCTTCTTACTTGCGAGGGTCATCTCATTTGACACCCTGTCAATAGCCAGGACAGCATCGGCCCCGTCATCGCAGGCTTCGATGAAAAACTTTTCAGGGGTGGTGTGTCTGAAGAGAGATTGGGAAACAATTTTTTTTTTCCACGCACCGGTATATGTTAAAAATACAGGAGTTGGCAGCTGCTACCTAAAAGATGCTAATAAGCAACTTAGGAAAACTCACTGTTTTACAATCATGAAATATAAATTGTCATTTCCATCTGTCAATTTTTTACATCGCTTTATCCTCATTAGGGTCGTGGATAAAGGAGGTAAGGTCGGATCTTTGAATAAAATCTCACGGCTGTTTACTTTCAATTTAACCGTTCATAAAACAGCACAACACCGAAATACAGATTTATATTCGTTTAGCCTGAGTCACTTAAAGGCCTTGAATAAAAACCAACAATGCAAAAAGTACAATTCATGAAACAAACACACTTCACACAGTTGATCTGTATCCTTCTTGTGCGCAAATATTTAATATTGTAATGCCCAGAAAGGATTAAGAAAACTGCGCAAGTGAAAATAAGACTCCATTAAATTGTTCAAAATGTTGCGCTTGTTAATTTCATCTAAAATAATTAGAAAAGAAGAGAAACCTGGGTCCGTAGAAAAAGGTACCTGGAGTCCACCCAAAGGTTACGCTATACTGTATTTAACTATTAGCCCATATGTCCTGAAATCTAAGGGTGAAATGAGCAAAAAACGAGACGGCAGAAAAGAAATTGTAAAATGGTTTAAAATAATCACAATAATGATGGCTCCGCTGAAACACAAAACAGCGCTCACAGAAATCAAGATAGTTGCAGTGGGAAAGTGTGATCTGTTGTTTCGCTATGGCAACAAATGGAACTGAAGATATGTAGGGAAACAGTGCTTGAGTGAGAGTTGTACAAACAACCTATTGTATTGTTGCCCTTTCTTAATCCAAACTAGATTTACACTACATGTTCATGGGCCGCACCAATGTTTGCTCAAAAAGCAGTATTGGGGTTTAGTCTTTCCAGGGTTCTATGTTTCAAGAAACGCCCGTTTCTGACCTTTAATAACATGTTCGGCAAGGGGAGTTTGGTAATCCAACAAAGGAAAATAAGACATTTTTACGTTTCAACAATTCTTGATTGATTAAATCATGGAATAATGAGAAAACTGTGTGTGACGATGAGGCTTTCCATCAGAATTCTCAACAAGATAAATAAAATATCTACCTAAACCGAGGTTTGTCAATACCTTGAAATAGTGTAGTTAAAAAAATAATAAAAAAAGAAATATATCAACAGTTTCCTGGAATGTTTCGGGAGTTGAAAGTTATACTTTCGTTGGTCAACAAATAGGTTTGGGATTCGAAACATGGAATACACATTTGTGCAACATATTTGCCTTTCACTTAAATATGACACGAGACATTCTCCAAGACGACGAGTGTCCCGCAGCCACAGGGAAAATAAAAAGCGGCGCGACTGAGAAAATTCAAGAATTAAATGGGCAGCAACTATACATTTGTCAGAAGGCCTCAGTGAAATTAACTGCCTCTCTGGCGTCGTACAATTATTCTTGAGGGGGTTTTAACTTCGGTACTTCCGGACGTAACAAGAGTCACTCAGTTAACTTTAGCTGTTCTGTCACTTCGTTAACAAAAGCATCATTTCCGCCCAGGTTGTAGCTAACACCGTCTTTCGGCTGGCTTCCCGGCTGCTGTTTGATTGATGTCGAGATAATGTAATTAAAAATGAAACTGTGGTATAATGTACTTACAAATTGTATCGTTCGTAGGCGGTCGCCATCTTCGCTGCGTCGACCGAACCAAAGCGACCCAAGAGTGACAACGTCTGAGCTCGTGTTGCCAGCTCCGAGATATTCAAGAGGAACAAACCTTCGTGTTTAAATCGCTTCTTTTACTTGAAATCTGGCAACCACGAAAGGCATGTGCATTCGCATATCTGCCCGCCTCAAATGAGCAAACGAAGTGCCTGTATGCGGCCCCAGGCTTTTGAATTTGTAATTTGGTAGTTGTGAGGATCTTCACAGTATTTCCATTGAATTTAAATCACTAATAAAAATTGGGAGAATGAATATTTTCTCATTTAATTTCTTCAGTAAAAGAGTGACCAACTCAAGAACACCGAATTTATTATGAATGAAGAATTACGTAAATCAATCTCTGTAATTGATGACTGTTTTTTGCTTTTAATGTGCCTACATTTGCCCACATTTTCAGCGTTTTTGGGGGGGGGGGTTATTTCTATCAGGCACTGCTGCCACCACCCATCTCGAAACGGAAAGGACCCCGCTATATAAAACTTGGAAAGCAGGGCGTTCTGCCTTTCTTCTCTTCCCCAAAACGAACGAGTGAGCGCATACCACGTCCACTCAGATTTCCACATTTGTCACGGACGCAGTGTACTCTCAAAAGAGCTACAATGACCGGTAATTATATTTTATATAATCCCACATTCGAAAAATTGCTAAGTAAGCACTACCAGTGTTGCTCTGACTGTACTTGTGGGAAGCACGTGGCGTAAAGAGTAAGGCAATGGCGCTGATAATTTTTTGTTATTTATTCTATTTCAGTAATGATTCACGAAGATTTCATGACGGCTTTCAGTTTGTCTATTGAAGATAAAGAATCCCAGCTCGGAGATGGGTGACCAAAGTGAGTGAAAATATTGCGTAATACGTGCGTGGGTGTCGAGTGTATGTTGATGCCATTGTTTCTTGATGTGTTCAAGATGACGTTTCTTGTTACTCTGTTTATAAAGCTAAATTCAGAAATGCAATATCTGCCTTTTTATTTTTCCAGTCTTTGGCCGCTGGATGTAATACTCAACCATAATGTTGGAACTCCTGTATTCATCGAGTAATGCAGCTGTGTGTTAATGGTGAGTGTTGTCTGATATTTCGTGATTTACGTCAATCATATTGCTGCAATGATGATTCACTAGACTAGAGTCTCTGACTATCCAGTGATGCTCTTTCACAGTGCACTGACAATGCATGTATTTTACTTTGTAGAATTTGTGTAAATGGAGCACATCTTTATTCAACATATTTTTTTCTTCTGTAGGTGTCATGGCCTGCAGGAAATGTTGCCAAGCCACGTGGTCAAAACTCAGCATTATGGGTACATTTGGCAGCAGGGCAACAAAAATGTGTTCCTTTACTATCGAGTATATGCTCTCATCAGCCTACAAAAATGAACATTTAAATTACTCAAGTGTTGTGGGACACATCTCAGTGTGATAAAATATCTCAAAAGTTAGCAGTTTATGCACAAAATATAAATAAAATCTCTGAATGCACGCACTATAAATAACATTGAAATTCCATAAAATGAATGTAAACATCTGCAACTATATTTACTTTAAGACTTAGGAAATGGTCACTGGCAAGAGTTTTTAAACCGTTTCGCCATGTAGCTGTTGTGTTGGTCTAGTGCAAAATTTGGGGATTGCTGCACTTTTGTGCTGGGAAATGCGAAGCCCTTGCTTGGTAGTGAGAGATGGTAATGTGAAGTAACTGAACACCTTACAATTTACTTGAATAATGCCAGCAGAGTCTGTTTAAAAAGGGTGCATATCCTTGTCCTTTTGCCCAGTGTACCCACATTGCTTTGCGTTTGATTGCACAGATTGGCGAATTCAAATTGGGTGCAGTACTGTTTACGGTGAGTATTGGAAAATGCCTTGGCCTTTCGCCGGGTTTTGAATTATCCATTTGCTGCAATGATGATTTACGAGACTAGAGTCTCTGATTTTCAAAATGAAGCTCTTTCACAGTGCACTGAGCATGCCTGTATTTTTACTCTGTGCCAGTATTATCAATGAAATGCATAGTTAATGCTCCTTTTTGTTGTTCAGGTGTCCAAGTGGCTGCAATGTGGCAGGTGCCTCTACGGGGTATGTTGGGAAGGGGGAAGGTTTCTCCTCAAATCTCTGATAATCCCGTTAGGTCCCCACAGTGAAGAGATCACATAATGAGCTACTAACTTTTAAAATGGGGACATGACATTTTGCTGTGGGATTTTGTCACATGATTGTGCTGATGCCATTTTTGTTTTGCAGCTCCAATTTACATTTTGTGCTTGCATAATGTGTGAGGACATGCCTGACGTATTAAAATGTTTTTGGCGCAGGGTTTGAACGATGGGCAAACCCCAAAGAAATATTAAATGGTCTGTTTTGTCGATGATGATTCATATTCGGTTCTTCTGATGTAAAGCTGAAGTTCACTCGCAGCGCACTGAGACACTCAGACCATCAAAAGTTTTTCTTTAACTTGCATTTTATGCTGAATAAAACTGATCAATTTTTAAGTTTTTGTTTTTTTTAAACAGCTGATTGTGAGGCACTCAACTTGATGGCTTTCATGCATAAGATAAAACCTTTTTGTCCCACACAGGGGAAATTTGCGATCTACAGCAGCAGAATTTAATACTGTAGTTGATTTGAAAAGGTTGGTATTTTGGTGTTGATTCAGTAATTCTGAGCTAAGCATCTGAAATGTTAAATTCTGTTTAACAGGTGCTGAAGCAAATTTTGGGAGGTTTTGTTGAAGCTGCCATCTTGTCTACTGTTGAATGGATCTTGTAATCAAATAAAATGGATGAATCTGACTCAAGTGTATTTTGTGTTGATTTTAAGATAAATGCTGAAACTTTGAATAATGTTTTTGGATCATGAATACATAATTAGTATGCACCAATCATCTCGTATGTGTTCTTTTTATTTAAATATGGTATTTTGTTCACTTTAGTATGTCCTTAAAATTCAGGTGTAATTTGTTGATAACGGGACCATTCAGTTCAAGATATGAACCGTAATGTGAATTTAACAGTTGAGCTAATCGTGATTTAAGTGCGTTCAATCCTGGAAACAAGTAATGGGAGTTTTTTTTTTTTTTTCCTGTTATGGAGCAAAGCATTACAAGTAGCACGAGTTTTATTTTGAAGGAGTCACGATAGTCCGCCCTCTTTTGTTCTTGTTTTGTGATGCACGTTACCTTCAATTCACTGGCAGTTGTCTACCCGCAACAGGCCGTTTCGGAACGAATTTGAAATTTCTCCCAAATTATATCGCGGTAAGCCAATGGCACGACACCCCTCAAACACCAATGGGTGACTTGACTCGGGGTCGACATTCGGAGAATTCAAGCTAACTACCGTAAGAGCTAGCAGTGACACCCAGCCAACGTCGATGAAGGTGATGTTTAATTTTGATGTAATTATCGATGTTAACATTTTTCGGAGATATTTGCGTGTTACCATACTCCATAGCCGACATTTACGTAAGGTGTTTTATCATAGTTGTCAGAAATAGTTTTAGCAAATTACCCATTGTTACCGAGATGTGCAGCATTAGCTACACTTGAACTGTCTACGTGGAAGGAAAATTTCTTTCGTGACCGAACATTTCTTCCTTTCCATTTCCAGGTACATGGAGTGAAGCAGGGCTCGAAACTGGGGAGAAGTCGGACAAGCTTGCGGAACAATAACGTTTACTACATGACGCTGAGGACGTCAAAACGGTGTATTGAAACTGGTCTCTTATTTACTTCCGTATTTGACGAACCGAATAGCAAGTGCTGTGGAACCAATGTACTAAGACAATAATCGTGATGAATCCTGGATTTTGTCGACTATCAAGCCATATTTGGGTGTAGCATAATTTTACAGAGCCGCACCATCGTTTTGTTGTTTGTAAATTCGGTTTTTCCGTTTGGCTTACAGAAGTGCCCAAGCAATTTCAGACAAAAGAAGCTGGGATTTTTTCCCCCCTTTGATTGGGCTACAAAAAGTTCCTCGAGGAACCATGACAGCTGTAATCGGAAGAGCGTGGGGGTGGGTGCGCTCCTGGGGTGGGAATGCAGCGTCAGAAAAAACTATCTTGGTTAAAGCTGAGATCAAAACGCAGACTGGCTCCAGTGAGCCAAGAGTCTTTGATCGACAAAAAGACCAAAATAGTCCAGGAGAGGATGAGTTCTGGGAAGCCCACGAGAAGCTGCAACCTATGGAAATTGAAGACCTATGTGCAGGGAAAGAAGAGATCGAGACGACTGTTGAACGTGCTCCAAGATGGTGGAATAAATATCTTCCAACATATTTTATTCCCTGGGGAAGGAAAACAAAGCCGAGTGAACTCACGCAAAAAAAACGCCACATCAAGAGTGGTGATCGGGATATTGACGGGGACTTTTCAGACTATGGAACACCTCCTCCGTCCCCAACTCCACATTCCCAGCTAGCATCCCCCTTCCGTCTTTTTGTACACAGCTGGAACGTGGAATTGTTTCCTGAGCACTATGAGATCTGCTTCAACTTCCTCCGCCATCTGTTTGACCTGTTCGTGGTGGGGTTCCTGTGGATTGTGTCGCCTCCCGTCAAGTTTATCTTGGAAGTTTTGGGGATCCAGGGACCACTGAGGCTTTGGCTCCATGGCATGGCCATGTTTTTTGTGTCTACAGTTGGAATGGCCGGACTCCTCTGGCTGATCCAGGAGCATCTCCCAGAGTTTGCTTTTATATACGGTGTTGTGCAAGCGTTAGTGATCTCTGTCAGCCTGAAAAAGAGCGTGCTCCTTGGATTGGAAGAAGAAAAACCACAAGTGGAGGAGGACAGCAGGGAAACTCAGGTGACTGATGAAGACAAAGAAAGGCTTTTTGCAAGTGACAAAATGAAGACAAGCTAAGCTTTTTGGTAAGTCTGATAGATTAAGAAAGTCGATTGAAAGGCTTTTCTATTTAGCTCAAGTGAAGCAGCAAAAGTATTTCACATTTTCTTGATATCTGGAATGAATTGATGACAAAGCTGATAATATCACCTACATGCGCTATGTTTTCACTCATGACATCAAATGGAAGCGTCACACTAGTTGGCTGGAATTATGTTTACTTCATGCTTCATTATCTCTGTGGTTGCATTAAAAAAATGCTCCTGGCTGCTGTAGAAGTGAAAAAAAAGGCATTCCAAATCTTGATTTGAGGCGTGGCGTGCTGATGAAAAATTCATGTGTTGAATGCAATTATGACATTTCACCATCTATGACTGTAAGAAAATGAATCGGACATCCCAGAAAGGCCATCTCAGTGCTGTGTATGTTGGTTTACCATTGAAAATCAAGTGTGAAACCAACTTAAACCACTGACATAAAAACATTATCCTTCACATATCCAAACGCTTTGTGATATGTTTGCTGAAGAATTTAGAATGACGTTTCTCCAATACCACAGTTGGTAGCAGTGGAACAAGTGACGTGCCACAAAAATGAAAAGTGTTCTTGGCACTAGATTTGACACCAATCTGATCGACTGAATCAAAACCGGTCAATATTCAGGATTTATGTAAAATTGTCTTGCGGAATCTATCAATCGCATCATTGATTGGCTCAGCAAAGTTAGACGTTACAGCAAAACAATCTGGTTCACTCCATATGTGAGCCCCATCGCTAGTCTCATAAATTTTTTAGCCTTGTTGGATATCTTGTGAGCAGAAAGCCCTTGCGCTGGAAGGCGGAAGTTTCGCCTTGCTGCCATCGGCCACCCACTCACAAAGTAATGGCGTTTGTGTCATTTTTTGGGGGGTGGGGACTGGTAAAAAGTCTTAAAACCATTTTATTTCTGGGTGCATGAAAGGGTTAATTTGAACATCTCTTGAAGTCACAATAGCTTTCATCATTCATCATAACTTATGTGAACTTCCGGCTACTTACACTTAGCCAATCACAGATGCAACCGGCAGGCAGGCGTTTTGTTTGGGGGGAAAAAAAACACGGAAATAGCTCTGTTGTTGACAGACGTACTAAACTTTTGCTAAACGAGGACATGAGATTTACTGCTTTGATACATGTTTTTCTCGCGACGTAATTCATTGAACGTCAAGACAGTTAGCGTACATAGGGCCCAATCTAGACAACTACAATGGAGCCTAATGGCGTCCGGAATGTGCTTATTGTGGCATACACAACAGGTAAAATTGGACAAACAATAGCATGTAGGACATAATAATCATTGCGGTCTGTGGGCATTGTGACTTGTAGATACGCAGCCAGCTTCAATTACGAGCCAAAAAGGAGCAGGCGCGCGCGACTTGACGGAGCTGCTAAGTGTGTTTATGTACTTCTTTACAGCTGTTGAACCAAGATAAGTAATCGTTTTAGCAAAAGCCCGAGTGACTGCCGATGTTCATGCAATTTTTTTTTTTCATCAATGTCAGAGAATGAGATTTAAAGATTACATATTAGGTTTTGTGTGGATCGTCAGTTTCAATTTGAAGAATTTGAAGTTATTTTTTACTATTCATTGTTATTATGGCGGTGGTCGACTGTAGAGTAAATATCCGTTATTTAAATAGATATAACGAGTCTGATCGAAATCAATGAACTATTTTTTTTTCAAAATTGCTGATTGACCCTAAACCCACTTTTTTTTTTTTTTTAATGGAACCGATGTACATCATGGTATCTTAATATATTTCATGTTCAATGCATGAACAAAAGATCCATTCTTCAACAACAAAGAGTTTGAGCAATGAAAAACGACCAACATCCTGTGAACACCCTCCAGTGCAAAGAGCCCCCGTTCATGAAATTAGCATTCAAGGACGGCACAGAACTGCTGAACAGCAAGCCAAAAGGAAGTGCCAGAACTAATTATCTGCCTTTTTTTCATTAAAAAAAACTCGTTACTATGTTTTGTACTCCATGTTATTGCAAAATTCATGAAACTCTGAGGCCTACTCCCAGACGATGGATGGATGGATGTTGGAGTAATGGGCAGTATATGACCCAGTGACAGTGAAACTAACCAATGTCTGCCATCAAGTGGTGGATGGTGATATTACACCATAAGAATATACAGTGGATGACTGCTAATCAAAGGGGATAGGGACCGGGCCGGCACGCGAATAGTGAAAATCCGCATATAATTGACAGCTGTTGAAATGAATTGGAAATGTTTATTTTTGTTTTGTAAATTTTAAAATTCTTAAAAAAAAAACAAAAAACATGATAAACTGGCAATATACATTTTCCACCAAAAACACGGTCAGCCGGTTGCCGATCCTGCTGTAGAGATGAAGGCCCCGTAGATTGATTCGTAGGTACCCATTGTCGCAGATTCTGTTCATAACCTTTATGGACAGAATTTCTAGGCGCAGCCGAGGTGTTAAGGGGGTCCAGTTTGATGGCCTCAGTATTGCATCTCTGCTTTTCGCAGATAATGTGGTACTGTTGGCTCCTTCAAGTAGGGCTCTCCCAACTCTCACTGTAGCGTTTCGCAGCCAAGTGTGAAGCGGTTGGGATGAAAATCAGCACCTCCAAATCTGAAACAATGGTCCTCAGTCGGAAAAGGGTGGAGTGCCCTCTCCGGGTCGGGCAGGAGATCTTGCCCCAATTGGAGGAGTTTAAGTATCTTGGGGTCCCGCTTCTCCTCCACGTCAAGAAGAGCCAGATGAGGTAGCTTCGGCATCTGATCAGGATGCCTCCTGGACGCCTCCCTGGTGAGGTGTTATGGGCTTGTCCCAAAGGCAGGAGGCCCTCGGGACGACCCCCAGGACACGCTGGAAAGACTGTCGGGATGTCCCGGGAAGAGCTGGAAGAAGTGGCTGGGGAGAGGGAAGTCTGGGCTTCCTGCTGCCCCTGCGACCCGACCCCAGATAAGCGGTAGAAAATGGATGGATGGATGGACTCCAGTATATCATGTTTTTTTTTTTTTTTTTGGCTGTATTATGAACAGAAACTGAACAGAAACTAATAAGAACACAGGAGACAGGGAATGTTGCAGATGGAAGAACTTGTATTTCCTATGTCAGCGACAAACTGGTTAAGTGATAAAAATAGGGACTGACATTTTTGTGTACAAGGTAGTCTTGTGTGTGGTTTATTTATTTTTTTAATCAAGCAAGTCTTGTCATGCATATGGTTTATTTTTTTAATCAAGCAAGTCTTGTCATGCATAACTGCGGGCATGGCAACACATCAAAACACACTGAAAAAAAATCCTTGGAATGTTTCTGTTGTGAAGGAAAGCGCTGTTGAAAGTGCCAAGGATACAAAGACATTTGCCAACTGTTTTTACATTTAATAATTGGCACTACGCTATATAGGGTGTAAAATGAGAGGACGTAATTTGCTGCGAAAAGTGTCGTGTTTATTTGAGGGGAAGCCATTTTTCATTCAAACTTTGTGTGCGGGTAAAGATACGTGCTCCTGTCCGTTGAGTGGTCGATCGATAATTGCGGAGAATTTGGTGTTTCAGTGGGTAATGGAATTTGCCACATTTTGTGACCTTTGATTCTTGAATCCGAGGCAGGACTGTCTCCGGGTACTCAAACACAGTGCAAAAAGTTCCCTCCTGTCCATAATGGAGTGCGATTGGATTTCAAACTTACTGCACCTTTCGCACCTTTCTACTCTGTCGCATTTGTTCGTCATACCTTCCTAATCAATTAGCCAGAAAGAGCGACTGTCTGCCAAGATGAAGTTAGCTATGTTCAGTTTTGCTGAGTTATGCTTCGAAAGGGGACGGACGTGCAAGCGTGTCAGCTGAATGTTATTCTGCCCTGAGTGTGCTTCAAACTGTTTATTGACATGCGAAGTTGAATTCTACTGCAAAACTAAACACACAACAACAACAAAAAAATCCACACACTCTAGATTTAAATTAAACACACAGTTTGTTTTAGAAATTATTTTACTTGGTACGAATTTATTTTCTTGTTGTTTTAAACTCTATCCATAGTTGACTTTCGCTAGATGAATACAGGCAAAATTTTTAAATCAATGATGAATCAAGATTATTTTTTCCAGCTTGCGTATATTTTAACGAATGAAGGTAATAACAGCTTCTTCGTGACACTACCTATTGTCGTTCTGCTATCTAGTCGAAACGTGGTAGTCGGATTCATATTGCGTCTAAATGACAAGTCAAAATGAGTTGCTCGGGGATTAGGGAACGACCATTCACACGCTTGCCAGCGTAACATGAGCAAACCCAGAAAACAGGTGAGCAGGGATTGGTTGTAACCGGAGGCCTTGGGCACAATCATGTCATTTTCAATCGACACCAAGATAAAAACGAGTGTGTGGATTCTTGATTTGACTTCCACTTTAACACTTTTGTGCACCAATAACCTGTAACCTGATCACATGATAAACTGTCCACTGTAGTCACCGCTGTCCCCGAAAGGGTTAATGAGGCCACTATTCAGAAAAAAATATGCTACCTGGAATTAATTTTAGTGCGCTGGTTCAATATTCTTAAATCTCGGTTGTCTCCAAATCCACACTAATTTAACAAGTGTTCTGTCCTCCACAGGTGATGACATCGAGCTGATACCAGACATCGTGATGAGGTGTTGGACATCACAGCTGCAAACAACAGCCAATTTTCTTGCACCACTTTCTGAAGCCGTCAGGCTTTACAACTGTATTGCACATTTACAGACTTGCACATGTCTTATTCAAGTCACTTTCAACACTGTTCTGAAACCCGGTGTCATCATCTGAATGTTGACACTGAAAGGTGGACCAGATACCACTTAAGGGGACTGTTGAATGTTCTCGATGTGCTTCAGCCAAAGATTTGAGGACTCCCTTTTTTGTTTGTTTGTTTGCAGTTGTTTTGTTTGTGTATACTTTTTCATGAGTTTCGTTGACCATGTGTGTGTGAGTAATTTGGTGGGATTAAGAGCCACAGAGTTCAAATGTACAAAGTACACCAAAGTGAGAGCCACTATATTAAGGCAAATCCCAACAATTTATGGTGGAAAGCGGCAGAGACGCTTTTTTTGTTGTTGTTGTTGTTGTTCTGAGTCATGACCTGGCAGTTCAACAAGGAAATCAAATCTCAGTTTAACATCGTATCATATCAGACAACAGATCACATGGAGCAGCTTTTGTTTTCCTTTCAAAGCCTCAAGTGGAACCCCAAAAGTCGAATATATGTGCAGTCCAGTCATGCCTGTTGACTTCCAGGTTGTCATTTCAAAGCGAAATTTCCCATAGGATCTAACGCTTCAATTGTTTTTTTTTTCACTGTTCGCCGCGGGCAAATTTACTTCAGCGCTGTTATGTCACTGTGGCGTTTTGCTGGCATTGCTGGAGTTAAATATTTTTTCAAAAGTGATGCAAAAAGCAAACCACAAAAAAAGCAGGCTTCAAATTATCCCACCTTTGCTGCGGTCAACTTTAGAGGTTCCGCTCTAGTCCCCCACCCTCATAGGCACCTGCATTCTGACACTAATCTGTTGTTGAATATGTTATAACGTTGACTATATCATCACTTGGCAGATTTGTCACCACCTTTACAGTGCGTTTGATGTCTGTAACTATGGTTACAGATCTCCACTTCATGTCTGTTCAAGTAACATTTCTCGATTGTTCTGTTCATTCACACCTTATCAAACAAGAGTGAAATAGCTGTGAAAAGAGGACTTTGGTATGAATAAATTAGTCTAATTTGACTACTTTGTGTCAGTATTTGCCTCGATCAGTTCATCATGCGTTGTTCTCAACAGTGAGAACAGCAGAGGTCACAGAATTGAACCCTGTGGAACACCACGACAGTGGGGCAGTACGTAACTCAGAGCAGCCAAGGCTAAAACAAAAGGTTCTGTCGGCTAAATAAGACCTAAACCACTCAACTCAGTTCAATCAGAGACAAGAGACTAATGCGCCATTCTTAAGGCAGATGATAATTCACAGGTGTGCCTACCCTCTGAAGCCATCACTGTCATTTGCAATGACTGTCAAAATTCCATCCATCTTTCGGACGTAATTTGTTTGCAAAATTAAGTAAAATTAAAAACAAGTTAACAATATGCATGTTTTTTTTTTCCCGGCTTGTATGAAAAAAAGAGTCATGCTAAATTGATGTGTGGCATAATATGTAATTTTTTTTTGCTAAATTAAGTAAAATTAAAAACAAGTTCACAATATGCATGTTTTTTTTTCATGGCTTGTATGAAAAAGAGTCATGCTAAATTGATGTGTGGCATAATAACGATGTTGCAGAGCCAACTGACTGAATATTATCCTAATTAGACATTCCCCTCCAAAAATGTTGGACCAACAAGATCAACTCCTTTGATTTTGGTTGTATGCTGACGACATTTGGGTTTCAGTTTTGCCGACCGCTCCCAGTTGGGCTGTTTTGTCACGGACGATCAAGCGGGTGGGCGGCAGGGGCGGTTGCTCCCGCCGCTCGCCACCGTCGCCCGACCCGGCTCTCACCCTGATGCTGAGCAGCTGACTTGGACCTGTTGAAGTGGAACAAAGTATCGCAAATATCCAATGTGATCATGACGGTATGTGATTTCTGCCCAGGGCTCGAATGTCAAATTGAAGAACTTCACTGAAGTGCGGGTAACCGGCGGGATGCAAATTCCGCAAGTGCTAATTGGTAAGTGAAGTGCGGGTAAGATAAGATAAGATATAAACGGCGGGATGCAAATTCCGCAAGTGCTAATTGGTAATTGAAAAACATATATTTTTTTTAAACTATCAAATGTCGCAAGACAAATAAAAATCTCCCAAGAGGTGGATTTTGAAATGTGTGGATAAAGAAGTACCGGTATGTCGCAAAAATAATTTAAACACATTTTTTGCGTTTTCAGGTCACGTGACAGGGCCTCCTGCAACCTTTCGGTATTAGTGGTGCCATCACACTTATGCCTTGGGCACTAACACACCCCCATGCAATTACAGATGCTGGATTTTGAACATTACGCTTATAACAATCCGGACGGTCATTTTCCTCTTCAACCCAGAGAACACGACATGCGTGACTTCCAAAATGAGGGACTTGTCAGACCCACAGAACACTTTTCCACTTTGTGTCAATCTATTTCTGACAAGCTTGAACCTAGAGAATTTTAGTGAAGGAGGCTGATTATTTTAGACAGTAGAGGAAAACAGCATATGCTAAATTACTGAATGCCCATTGGTTCAATAAAACCGCTTTTCGTAAATGCATTTTTTTCGCCCAACAGATCTTTGTACGTCGATATGGACACACGCAGTTATGATGCTGATGCTATTTGTCCTCTTTACAACTACAGCCTAGTGAATAAAATGGATCGAATTTCTTTTCGGAATGTGCAGACACCTTCAGTATTCGTTGAGCTGATAATGTTAATTTTAATTAAAAAAAAAAAAACGGCAGCTCTAGAAAGTAAACATCCCCTGTTAACATACCAGTTTTCATTAAAAATGTGACGTATTTCTTCTTGCCTATTATTCCGCTCCAAATATGTCCTGATACTTTTTATGCACTTTCAAATGTGGTGTTTAGTAACACGTACATCACAGTTCAAAACTTTTAATTCACATTCAGTTTGATTCCATGACGCTTAATTGTATTTACAGAAATGTGCATTGCCAGGACAAGACCAATGAACTGTACATGGTGTATCGCTGTGCATGTGGGCAGGTACGTACAATACAGAAAATGGTGAAATCAAATCAGTGTGTGTGTGTTCCAGAGAACGTGTTGTGAAGTGAAATCTCTCCGAGCTGAGACATGAGAGCACAAAGGTTGGGCCGACGGTCATTGCACCTTCACCTTAACGTTTTCTCCTGTTTTGACATACAGGATTGGACGTCTCATCATGGAAACCTTTGAGAAGACTCCCAAATGACACAATCTCAACACAGCACAGCAGAAAAAAAGCACTAATCGCCCCTTGGATGTGGAATGTAGGTATTTTTTTGAAACAACATGCTGTGGAGTTTAATGTTTAGGTGATTATTAGGAAATTGGTTCAATAAATGAGCAGTTATTCAGTCCAATATTATCACACTTCTCTCGTCGCAGTCTGCAAAGTAAACCAAAAAAAATTATAATTCAGATGCAAAATATCATAATTTGTTGGACTATCTGTCCGAAGAAAGAAAACTCACATGCAAATGAACACTTTGAATAGTATCAACACTTCAGTTCATTAAAACCTCACACAGTCAGGAGAAAAAAAATGAAGTGATGCATTGGATACAAATATAAATTGCTGTCCAATGAAAACAAGTCTCATCGTGTATCTTGTAGTACTTTATCATCCAAGACCCCAAAACGTATACAGTAGTACATGTATTTATTTACCTCATTGGACAACGACAATACAATCAAATGGATCTTGTTTTGTTGTCTTTTTCGTGGTTAGTTTTGAACTTGAGTAGTTTGAAGTGAGGGTGGTCACGATTCTTTCAAAATGGCGCCTAAAATGATATCCGTCCGCTGAAAGGCAAAAAGCATATTGCGTACCAAATATCAATTCATAAATAAAACCCAAGGCCTAATCTTGTGTATTGGGTTGCATTTGACCATCTGTATTATATTTAAAGATGGGAAGTTGACAAATTGCACTTTGACTGACCACTAGCGTAATTCACAATCGATTTGATTGTCTGAAATGGTTTGAATAAAATGGGACTGGTTATCCCGTCTGAAAGTTATTTTGATGCCAATATTGTATTGTACAAAATCATGTCCGGATGAGTTTCGTGTTGTTCTTTAGACAGCCAACATGTTGCGAACGATTCAACGGTGCTTCTGCTCCACAAATGCGTCGTCGCACACGTATCAACAGTCAATTCCATGCAACCGTTAGGACGACGTCATGATCAAATAAACGTTCCTACCCCTTACGATGTTGCATACCGAAATGGTCAAAGATTTGATAGTTTAAGACGGTCCTTCATTGGTATTGTCAATTTTCCACTTGCCATGTAAAGCACCGTTGTGTTCCTGAAAAACGCCGTCGAAATCCACCCATCCATCTTAATACTTTCACGTCGGATTTTTGCTCTGTTTTTATTTTCCTTTGACATATTTTATATAGATAATATCACTACTTGAGACCGCAGTCACCTTGCTTTAGGATATAGAGCCACAAAATAACCCATTGCTTAAGTACATCTCTGTATGATCAAGCGCAAAATACACCACAGGTTTTTGCTGTATTTTCCATCTTCGTGCATCTTAACACACAAAACTACATGCTGCCTTATATATATATATATATATATATATATATATATATATATATGAATGTTAATGTCACAGTTGTGCATCAACCACTACAATGGACCCTAATGTGTGTTGTCATCCACTGTCATCATGTTTTTTTTTTTCATGCCTAAAGACTGATAAAAACACTTGAGAAAAAAAATCCTGATGTAGGTTATTATTAGGGCACGAAAGGGTTAGTTTTTTGTTTTTTGTTATGTAATAATATTCCCCTATTTGGCGCATATCTTCAATTTTATCTCAAAAAAAGAAAATAAATATGGTACATCTAGATGGACTAAATGTGTATGGAGTAAATGTTAGTTGAGTGATGGAAAAAGAGTCATCATCTCGATGACACATCTTGTCAAGATGTTTTTATAATTAAGAGATGGTGGGAAAATTTCATCTGGGACTCTGTGTGCTTGATGGTACAAGTCGTGCTCGTGGAAGGTAGCATGAAGTTTGGCTGTCTTTCTCTATGATGGAGCTTAAAGGGGAAGTCAACAGAAATGTGTTCTACACAGCGCCACTTGTCTGAACACGGCATTCTGAGTAACGTTACATTCGTTGAATTTGAGTTAAGCAGCAAAATCCACTTGTTTTTAGCCATCTCAGGGGGGGCGGCCATTTTGCCACTTTTCCGTCAGCTGAAAATGACATCACAGTTGCTCAGAGCTCAGGTAACGACTAATCACGGCTCACCTGTTTTCTGAAGCTGAACCATGATTGGGTGTTGTCCGGGCCGTGAGCAACTGTGATGTCATTTTCCATCGACGGCAATTAGCAAAATGGCCAATATGGACAAAAACAGGTGGATTTTACTCTTACTCATTCAGATTCCACAAAGGCAATATTAATCGGAATGCCGTATTTAGACTAGTAGGGCGTCAGAGAACTGATTACTGTCAAGAAAATTTGGAGGTTGACTTCCCCTTTCAGGTTAAGACTGTAGGCCTGTGGCTATGCTGTGATGAAGAACCCTTCCCTCCATCCAAATACCCTGCGACACACCCATTTTACAGGGCTATCTAGTGAGCATGAGACCTTCCAGACTTTGGGGGCGCGGTGGGTCCCCCGCCCTCCCTCTGTCCGTGATCCCTCCGTCCGTGGCCCAGGATACAGTGCGCGCTGCCACACCCTTCTTCGTCATCATCTCCCTCGCTTTCGGAGGATGACTCGCCAAACTGTCGAGGCTTCTCATAAATACAGCAGCCTGAAACAAGGCACTCTGGATTAGCGCTGAGCCTCCAAAATAATGCTTTAACTCAAAAAGTCAGAAATGAGACCTGCAAAGTGCAAATGTTTGTTTGGTTGACAATACCAACCAGAGGGAGCCTGTGATATTAAAAAAAAAATGCCTTGCAGCATCTTAAATTCATCGATTTTCTGTATCGCTTATCCTCAACAAGATTGCAGGTGGGCTGAGCATGGCGTGCCTTGAGAAAGTTTTAGACCAATTGAAATATTTCACATTTCACCACTTCACAGCCTCAAACTTATTATTTTTTTTTTTAATAGAGATTTAATTGGACCAACTAAAGGCAATATTAATCGGAATGCCGTATTTAGACTAGTAGGGCGTCAGAGAACTGATTACTGTCAAGAAAATTTGGAGGTTGACTTCCCCTTTCAGGTTAAGACTGTAGGCCTGTGGCTATGCTGTGATGAAGAACCCTTCCCTCCATCCAAATACCCTGCGACACACCCATTTTACAGGGCTATCTAGTGAGCATGAGACCTTCCAGACTTTGGGGGCGCGGTGGGTCCCCCGCCCTCCCTCTGTCCGTGATCCCTCCGTCCGTGGCCCAGGATACAGTGCGCGCTGCCACACCCTTCTTCGTCATCATCTCCCTCGCTTTCGGAGGATGACTCGCCAAACTGTCGAGGCTTCTCATAAATACAGCAGCCTGAAACAAGGCACTCTGGATTAGCGCTGAGCCTCCAAAATAATGCTTTAACTCAAAAAGTCAGAAATGAGACCTGCAAAGTGCAAATGTTTGTTTGGTTGACAATACCAACCAGAGGGAGCCTGTGATATTAAAAAAAAATGCCTTGCAGCATCTTAAATTCATCGATTTTCTGTATCGCTTATCCTCAACAAGATTGCAGGTGGGCTGAGCATGGCGTGCCTTGAGAAAGTTTTAGACCAATTGAAATATTTCACATTTCACCACTTCACAGCCTCAAACTTATTATTTTTTTTTTTAATAGAGATTTAATTGGACCAACTAACACAAAGCAGCATGTAATTGTGTTTTGAAAAAGAATTCAAAAATAGTTTTCAAAATTTGAAGCAAATAAAAATCGGAAAAATGCGGTGTGCATTTGTATTCAGCCCCACCAAGCGACAATATTTTGAACAGCCACCTACCAGCATTGAGAAGAAGAAGAAAAAAAAGTTTTCAGTTGTGTCATACGTTTTTCCATTTTTGAATGATGGATTCAACATACATTATTGGGTTGACTACAATCAAACCCTGCTTTAAATTTCTCCACAACGTTATCCCTGACCAGTTTGGTAAGCTCCTTGGTCGTGATGACGCAGTTGTTCACTTGTGTTCACTAATAAACCACAGAGGCCTTCACAGAACCGTTGGATTCATACCAGGATTAAACACTTCAATTAACCTAAGAAACTGGTTACAAATTTATTGTGACAGAGCAGTGGCACAGCATCGAATATAGTATAAGTCTCACTGTCCTGGCAATTTAAAAAAATAAAAGGTGGGCCCAATTTGATGACAACTGGGCACTTACCTCAATTTTCCAAATGAGCTTCGTTTTGATTCGATGCAATTTCTTTTTAAATGCACATTTAAAACAAGGATGAGTATCCAGTTGATTATTTTTGTCATATTAACAGTAGTGACCCTTTATTTCAAGTCAAACACTATAGAATCATAAGATGAACGAAGGTTTTCATGATTGAATTATGTACATTTTTGACCAGAGTAATGTCACCGGGAAAAATTGAAAGAAAGTCCAGTTCATCACCACAAGTCAGCAACATTTGAAAACTGAAAGTCCAGTTCATCACCACAAGTCAGCAACATTTTCAATGAAGTGAATTTTTCTCAAAAGCCTAGTAAGGAACGTGTTCATTGAGTGCAACTGTATTTATAAGTGTTGCAAAAGCAAGAACTAACAACGATATCGCTGAGATGCGAGCACAAGGAAGAGGCACTTACATTTTGAAGATCTCCTCCCGAGGTGCTCATTGTCGACCGTGTCGCTGGACCATTCCACCTTTTTCTCGGTTTTCCTCTTCCTTAGCTTGATTGTCAGACTACGTCCCTCCTGGAAACATGCGCCAGGAAATACGACGTGTGGACAACAGGAAAAACCTTTGATCAAAAATGCTTGACAACATACCTTTCTAAATGTCATTTCTCAGCGTTCTGTCACATTTTTCACATTGGGAATACACACCCTCCTCCGTCCAGACTGTGTGTGTGTGTGTGTTTTCTACAGGTTCATTGTGCTATTACCCTCTTTAGGCCGAATGGTAGCTAGATGAAATGCAGCACAATTCGCCACCGGAGGTGCGGATTGTCACGAAATAAAAATACCGTAGAGATCGGATTGTGATCTAATCGGCCCCAGTATATTCTAACAATATAAATGATGCTGAGGTCAGAATGTTGATGCTCTATTAAAGACAATGTGCTCTTCTATGTGCTTAACGTGCCCATTTTAATATCCGAAATGTATGGCTTGGTTATACCGAACGTTCAACGTATAAGCGTTACGGTTGTTTTCAAGAACGGCCTTTTTTCCCTTTTTTTTTTTTTTTTTTTTTTTTTAGCAACTGGGATATTTATTAGCCTCTGTAACGCATATTCAACCGAAACCAAATGTTTTCACCAGCGGTCATTTAATTGTTTACCTGTTGAGGGGGTGGCGGTGTGCTGGCTTGAACAGTCTCCGTGATCGTCTCACTTGACGTCCCAGGAACCTCCGCCATCCCCGGAGCTCGTCTGCTAACGCGAACGTCAACTAACTTTTAAGATGGACGTCTAAAAATCGCTGACTAACAGCGTATTCTAAAATCATCAATGATAACCAACAATTAAAAATCAATTCAAAGACAGCAAGAAACGTTGATGAAAGTCAGATATGAGCTGTCAAGCTCTCTGATGGAATGGGATGTGGCCAACCAAAATAGTCAAACGTCAAAAATGACCAATAGTTAGCGGGACTCGAAACGGAAATGTGTTACACTGTGATTTTGAATGTCACATACTTTTATTTATAAATTCTAAATATAAATCACGATACACCCGGCTGGTAAGAAAACGCATTGTAGAAGGTTGTTTGTTTTTCTAGTACAACAAACGTCTTACGGTAGCCGTGCTCTTAAAGTTGTACGGTGGAATTATTGTTTTGAAAACCAACAGGATCATCTATTTCCGTTTTGTGTGTTTGACGTTATTGTGCCGAGGGGGGAAGATATTTGTAGACGGACAGCAGAGACTTCTTTCCGGATTTCCTGTCGTCCGTCATTCAAAATAGACCGGCACCAAACAACAATCACATGCTGACATAGGTTTCATTTGTATTATATATCTTGCTAAATATTTTCAAATGACATGTTTATCACGGTACCATGCTATATTAATGTTTAAACGCATTCCTGGTCACATGACAGAAATGTAGCTTTTTCAAAGAGAAGAGGAATTTTAAGGTCGCTGAAGGCGCTTTTAATATCTATAACACTGTAAATAGTCATCTTAGAAATTGAAAACGTATTGCGGTTTTTAATTTTCCTGATTTGAAATGACGTCAGTCATTGAGATTATGTGTTATTAGTTCTTACATTATATTTTAATAAAAAATATATTTTCCGACTCCATGTATAGCTTGTCCTTGAGGATGTGGCCAATAGGTCCTGTTCTAATGCACGCAAGGAGAGAAGCGGTCAGGCTCTGTTCCAGTAACTCGCCCAAGCCTTCAACATTATCCGCCTCCAAATCAAGCTCACGCTCTCGTCTCCAAGTTGAAAAACAGAAGAGGAAAAAACAGAGGGAGCTCGCCATACTATCCACTCAACACCTTGTGGAACGGCAGCAAAGTATACAGTATATTTTAATATGTACAGTACACTGAAAATACACCGAGTTCTGAATGCTAGACTCCTTATAAGTAGTCTCTGGGAACCAGCAAAGGATTTGTCTATTGACTCGCCCTTTCAAAATCATTCACAATCATCATATGACTTCCGAACATTTGTGTGATTGTAACCTATACATACATATGACATATTTATTAATGCAATCTGCAGTTTTTAATTCCAGCGGTGATGTTGTGTTTCCAGACAGCTGAAGAAGATGCTATAAAATGGAGTGAAAAGGAGCGAATCCTCTATCCTGCTGATACACCACCTGGGGCAAAGAAAGGCGAGTTTGCCCTTTTACCCCAGCCCACACACCCAATAGTCGCTCAACTTTGTTGTTGTCATACTGCAGCACTGAAAACATTCTTTCCTACTTGTGAATATGTTTTGGCAGACACAAGCCTGCCATTTCCATCCTCATACAGTCCAGATTATGTGGAATCCAGCTGGTATCAGTGGTGGGAGAAGGAGGGGTTCTTCAGGCCTGAGCATCATGTGAGATCTTTTAAATATCATGCACCATGTTGGTGACCACTGGAGTAGATGCTAATATACATTTTTTGGAGGGGTTGTCAATTTAAGTTGTGGTATGTACTATATAAAGTATCCTTCTCTTAAGGACGTTCAGGAGTTTTCTCATGCTGTGGATCAGAACTTCTCTTTGTGTATACCACCACCAAACGTGACAGGGACTCTGCATCTGGGCCATGCTCTGACTGTAGCAATAGAAGATGCTTTGGTTCGATGGTAAATGCTGAAAACAGATTCTGAATGTTGCCTTTTTTTTAAATATATGCTTTTTGGCTCTAATTGTAATGCTGCTATGAACGATTGATTAGGCATACTCCATACTATGCTTTGTTCAATCCGTTTAGGAGAAGGATGCAGGGCCAAAGAGTACTATGGGTCCCTGGCTGTGACCATGCTGGTATAGCAACACAGGTAAAGAAGTTCCGTTCCTCGCCTCTGTTTTGTCATAACTGAATATTTAAGAGGGGATTTTACTCACAGTGGTGTAAAGTTGGTAAGTCAAGGTTGACAAATCCGTTCATAATTTACAATTTTGCGAGATGAGGTGGCTCAGACATCTAGTCAGGATACCTCCTGGATGCCTCCCCGGTGTGGGGCTCCGGACAGGGCCCAGGACACGCAGCAAAGACTCCATCCATCCATCCATCCATCCATCCATCCATCCATCCATCCATCCATCCATCCATCCATCCATCCATCCATCCATCCATCCATCCTTTTTCCAATCCGCTTTAACCTCACAAGGGTCGCAGGGTGTGCTGGATCCTATCCCAGCTGTCTTTGGGTAATAGACGGGGTACACCCTGAACCAGTTGCCAACCAATTGCAGTGCACACAGAGACAAACAACCATCCACGCTCACACTCGCACCTAAGGACAATTTGGAGTGTTCGATCAGCCTGCCGTGCATGTTTTTTTGGAATCTGGGAGGAAACCGCAGGACCCGGAGAGAACCCACGCAGGCACGGGGAGAACATGCAAACTCCACACAGGAAGGCCGCAGCAGGAATCAAACCTGGTACCGCTGAAATCGACGCGCTAACCACTCGACGACCGGGCCGCCCGGAAAGACTCTGTCCAAATTCTTATGCTGCATCCTCGAGTGCGGAGCAAGATAGCCTACGAAAGTGTGCTCCGACACACCCTTCACTCAGTGCGCCGTCTCCGTGGAAACAAAGGCCAGATTTGAAGGCTAGATTCAAAAGCCACATAAATTTGGACACCGGCGTGCAGTTGAGGTGCGCCCAAAGTTGCGTACATCATGCGGTCATCAAATTCGGTCTTTGGAGGACACGAAGTATACATTTGGACACAGCATACTGTATATCCCCCAACTGGCCTGGGAATGCCCGAGGGAAGATTTTTCAATTCTAGCCCCATAACATCAAACCTGTAAAATATGAATACATTTGGAAAAAGTGTGCTGATTGAAAAAAAAGACTTGAGATTATCTTACAATGTGCCATTTACCAGTTAAAAAAAAAAAAAAAAACTCACCCAAACATTCCGCATCCTGAAATGAGGAGGTGGTTTGCGCCGGTTCAGATTACAAGAATGAACATACTATTATCGTCGCTCAGACACTCAATCAAAACTAAATATTGTTATTTTTGGAGTGTTTTTTTTTTTTTTTGCTCAACTCAAGTATCTCAGTGGTCATAATGTAGCTGTAGCTAGAATAGAATGCTCATGATGAAAGCCAGCTGTCAGAACCACAAATAAAAGCCTCTCTTGCATATCAGATACTGAAACACTGCATCTTCATGTTATATACCTTTTTTTTCATCAGAGCGTGGTGGAGAGAATGCTGCTTCGGGAAGAAGGGAAGCACAGGCAAGACTTCACGCGAGAAGAATTTTTACAGGAGGTT